AAGCCAGAGCCATATCACCATTCTTGTTGCTAAATCTCTGACCGGAGCTCTTTGGCCCAGGATACAAGGTTACAAAGATGGCTAGCGGAGACCTTCTCCTGAGCTGCCTTAAAACACCACTATGAAAAACTTGGCAGTCTCGTAGCATTGGTAATATCCCATGTATCTGTTTCACCTCATAGATCGATGAACACCTCACGCGGAGTTGTTCAGAAGCAGACCTTCTTGAATGTCTGAACAGGAACTGCTTGAAGGTGGAAAGAGCAAAATGTCACGGATGTGAAACGAATCGTCATCAGACGCGACAACAAAGAAATACTACTAAACATTTAATACTCACTTTTGCATCTAGCACACTGCCTTCATCTATAGACACAGGCTACATCAAACTCTCTGTCCGTCCCTACATTCCCAATCCAAGACGGTGTTTATAAATGTCAACGATTTGGTCATGGCTCGCAGAACTGCCGGGGTCAGGAAACTTGTGCAAGATGTGGTAGCCATGGCCACCCATCTGATAACTGTGTTACTACGCCTCACTGCGTGAATTGTGATGGGGAACACGCTGCGTATTCGCGTTCGTGTCCTAACTGGAAGAAAGAAAAAGAAATAATCACTATTAAAGTCAAAGAAAACATCACATTCAAAGAAGCAAGACGAAGAGTGTCGCCATTTTACGGCCCAACATATGCTGATGCGGCGCGTCAGGGGGCACCGCCGCACCAGCCCTCGCCACCCCTCCGGCCCGCGCATACCGAGCCGGCGGTTGTGGCACCTGCCCCCAAGGCGGCTGTAGCCCAGGCTACACCGCTACTCCCAACAGAGACCGGAGACTCCAGAGTCTTCGGGTCTCAAGGCCTCCCTTCACCAGGCGAGGCCAAATCCGAACTAACAGCCCGCACGTGCGGGCCTCCAGTGCCTCCAAGGAGGCAATGGATACGTCGGCACCCTTGGTGCCGAAAGAGCGGCGTGGCTCCCTTGGAGCGCGCCAAGAAAACAAAAAAGCAAATAACAGGGCCTGGTGATGGCCCTGTTAAGTGAACCTCAAACTCCCGTCTAAACAGCCACCGCTTTTCGTACACACGCATTATTTTACATTCACCATGAACACTCAAATTATACCATGGAACGTCAGTAGGGGCCTTCTCAGAAACCGTGACGACATCCAAGAACTCTTACACGAAACACTCTCCAAAAGGCTGTGTGTACAAGGAACACACCTTAATTCAAAACACACAAATTTTCTTCGTAATACGTTATTTTTAGAAAGGACCGTGATGATGCCATGAAATCATCGGAGGTGTTGCCACATAGTGAATCAAGGAATTGCATGCACCACACTTACAACTCCAAACATCCCTTGAGGCAGTGGCTGTTCGAGCGGTTCTTTTTGATAAACTGATCACGATCTGCACTATTTACATTCCTCCTAGCTATCAGCTGCAAAAACGTGATTTATACTCTTTAATTGATGAACTTCCGGAACCTTATGTTCTCATTGGAGACTTTAATGCGCATAGCAGGCTATGGGGTGACTCTCGGTATGACGCGCGAGGTCGACTGATCGAACAGTTCCTTCTCTCGTCGAGCGCGTGTCTCCTAAACCGAAAAGAACCAACCTATTATAATATCGCACATAACACCTACTCCTCCATAGACCTAAGCATAGTATCTCCATCTCTTGTGCCTCTACTTCAGTGGCAGTTGGTCGCGAATTCTCTGACCACTGCCCTGAACTGTCGCAGAAGCTACGCTAGGCGCCTGCGAACACTGTAGCATTGCCAATTCTATTCGTTTCAATTCAAGGCGCTGCTGTCTCTCGGCCTCCTCATGGCGTTCTCGCCTTTCAGCTTCTTTACGTTCCCAAACTTCTCCCCTTTCGGCCTTCTCGCGGCGCGCTTTGATATCCACCCAGGCCTCATCGACTTCCTCAGCCGACACTCGATCATCCTTCATGATCTCAAGGATCGCTTGCTTTCGTTTCGCACGGCCCAAAGTAATGCCGAGTTCTCCACAAATTTCGATGAGTTCCTTCGCTTTAAGGTTCTCCATTGTTCACACTAGCCTCTGGCTGTTTGTCCCTTCTAACAATTTACTTGCCGTACCCACTATAACTCCACTAGCAAGACGCGCAAGCAACTTTCAATACTCCCGTGTTTACACCATCCGCATTAACATTGGTTTCAAAGCGTTCAAACTTGGCTTGAAACGATCAAAGCTCCCTCTAATGCTTCACACATCCCTTCTCTAAACTACTATAACCTGTGCTAGGGCAGTCTGGTGAACTGAGGGGAAAACATCAGGCACTCACCGCATCGATGTCGCTGACGCCAGCCGATCCCGCAGCTGCCAACCACTGTTACGAAGCGCGCCTCCGATGACGTTACGAAGGGCGCCACGAATCCCACCGCTGCCACCACTGTTACGAAGCGCGCCTCCGACGACGTTACGAAGGGCGCCACAAAAGTTCACCACTGCAACCACTGTTACGAAAGACGGCGACGATAACACGGTTCCGAAGGCGCCACTGCTTCGACTCCACAACCGCTTCGACCGCCACCTTAAACCCCACAAATCAATCAATCGATAACTCCACCCATAGAGAAGCTTCACAGAAAATCCGGCGTTGACGTCGCCGCCGACGGAAGCGCTCCAGTGAAGGTGGGGTTCATGCACCACTTAAGTCTACACCGCCATCAACGTCTAGCAGAAAGCCGGAGAGCACAAGAATACTTCCACTGGCGAAGCCTCTCTTCCTTGAAGACTGGCCGGCGCTTGCGAACGCATGGCCTCCTAAGCAGCCTTCCCCCTCTCTGCTTCCAGTAGAAGCCATTGCTGCTGTTGACGAGGCTCCGACAGCAGACCGTCAAATCATTCCTATGCTGCGATCTATAGCGAGTGTCATCAGAGGTCTTCTGACAATCATTGATACGCCAACCCGTAGCAACGCCTACTAGTGCTGGACGAGTTTAGCCCGGTCGTTGCAAGCCTCCAGTAAAACCATAGTTGACAATCACACGCCACTTCGACAAGAGCTCAGAGAATCGTCGATTATTTAGTGGTACGCAAGAGGTCTTAGATCTCGCATATCTGATTTCCGTGAGTTCGTTCGTCGATACCGATTTTCTATCATGATTGTATGTGAACCGAAAGTTGTCGCACTCAATCAGACTATCCGGCTACGAGTCATTTTCTGATCAAGTGACATTGAAAGTAGCAAGGTTGTTTTATTTATTCGCCGGGAGCTTACCAACGTCACCCAGTCAGTGCAACCTCATCACGACCGTCAGTATGTGTGGTTGACCGATAAAAATGGAAAGGTGACATTCGCCTTCCTTGGTGTGTATATATCCCCATCAAGTCGATTCGACGCTAACAAACTGGACAGCTTAATAAGGACACATTCGGATCCGTGGATTATCACCATGGACTTCAATGCACATCATCCAATCTGGGGACGCTCAAGGGTTAATTCAACAGGACGACGTCTAGCATCATCGGTTTCACGCCATGGTCTGGTCCTTCTGAATGACGGAAGTCCTCCGTTTTTACGAGGCACCACATATAGCAGGTGCCTTGACTTGTCTTTTGTGTCACAATGATGCGCTACATGGGTAAAGTGGTTTTTGGACATTGAAACATATGGAAGCGGCCACGTCTCCGCTTACCTGAAGATCAAAGGTAGTTCAAACACGTACTCATCTACCACGACACGAAAAATAGTTTGGAATATGTTCAAACCTCAACTTGAGGATGCTTGTGAGGAAGGCCTCTCCCGTGGTCTTCAGTAAGCTATTAAGAAAACGGCACATGTGGCTATGCGCAAAATAATATGCTCTCTGAAGTACTCTGAGTTTCACCTCGAGCCAGAGAAACTTCATGCGATCCGCCGTAGTGCCGAAAGAAGATACCGACGCACCAATTCCACAGACGATCTACGAACAGCCCGTCGCATTCAAAAGAACATACAACGCGCCCCGACAAATTAAGACACCCAACGATGGATGAAATTCCGTGCGTTGCTATATGCTCACAAACCAATGTCTCAGATATGCAGAACTGTGCGAGGCTTACGTTCTGCTCCAGAGCGGCGCTTTTCTTTCAGAGCCCTTGCACGTTTTCATCGCTGACATGAACGTGGCAGAAGAGTTGTGCGCTATGATTGTGGGCCAGACAACGTACACAAGCCTACATAGAGTGAACGAAAATCTTAACTCACGGGACCCAGTGCATGGATCTACCGTTTACATCACAGGAACTTGATGCGACGCTCGTCTTATGTAATAGGTCGTCGTCGACTTGCTTGGATGACATTTCTTACCGGATGCTGTGCCACCTTGGTGAACGGGCAGGAGAAGCGCTCCTTAACATCTTCAACGAATCCTGGCAAGTTGGTGTCGTTGCGCAAGATTGGAAGATTAGCCGCTTGGTACCGCTTCTTAGGCTTGGCAAATCGCCCCTGGACATTACTTCTTACGATTGATCGCACTTTCAAATTGTGTTGGAAAAATAATGGAGAGAATGATTTTGGCCAGACTTGAATGGTACCCTAAATACTACGAGATATATTCGAACGCCAAGGCAGCAAGTGATCGTAGCGGGACACTGCTGGTAAATGTGGGCGGTTACGCCACCTTTCAAGTCCCACACTAAACACCATGACCTCCTAGATATTGTAGGCCTCTACTAGATGCTAACTTTTCGCAAACAGTAAAGATCAGTGGAATTGTCCTCTGAATGGGCCTCAGAGTGGACATACCAGGCCTTAGAAAATTATATCAAACCACTGTCACCAAAATACCAAACATGGACTTGGAAATCTATGAGGTAACTTGCAGAGGTTTCAACGCATGCAATATTTAACAGTAAAACTGTGATCTAGATTTCCTTGTTTGTTAGCGATAACATAGCTGTTAGAGTAATATATGTCAACCTGAGACGATTAATTGTGTCACGTTATTGTCCTTTTAAGTTATCGTATTTTTGTTCTTGTATTTCAGGTTCAGTCCAGAGAACAAAGATCGCATCAACCCTACAGTTTATCAGCCCTTTGGTCTGGGACCACGCATATGCCTTGGCCAGCGTCTGGCCCAAGTGGAGCTGGCTTCCACCACTACACACATCCTCCGCCATTACCGCATCATGCTGGGCACCTCTCAGAAGGTATTCCTTGTTTTGTTGTTCTTATATTGCGTACAATTTTGTTACACTTACACATAAACTTACGCATCTGCGACGGCTCACCTCCTGATGTTTTTTTTCTAAATCTACATTCATAATTGCGTAAATAATATAAGCTATCTTACTCAGAAATTCTAAGAACTTTGGAAGGGTAGGTTTCTCGCAACCAAGGAAAATTTCTTCAAGACAAAACGCCACCTATGGCGGACTCACATAAGTTCTGCCGCCACACCAGTCAGCATTAATTGCTCTAATGATCAGAAGGTAAGTACTCAATAAATATGTTAGGCCCCATATTTCAATCAGAGAGCTGTCGGCGGTCAGTTTTCAAGGCATGCTCAATTGAAAGGAATTGTTAGAGTGCATCACAGTCTAAAACTTGTCCAAAACGGTACTGTGTTTGCAGTTGGGGCTGTAACAAAATGCAACTCTCTGCAGAAAGATCATAGTATAAGCACGAAGTTAATGAGTATGAATGGGCGAAGGTCCCGGGGTCAGTCGGGTAACCATGAATCCCCCGTACTTTACCCACTCGAACATGTGTACCGTATATACAATGTGCGTTTATTGGTCGTATACAAAATTAAGGCGCGGACTACGTTTCCTCTTCATTAAGGCTGCCATATGATCAGTGAAATGAAGGGCCAAGAGTTCTTGGATGGAATGGAGTTGGAAATTCGCAAAAAAGACGAGCTCTGTACACACCCTCCTCTTCGTTGGTTGTGTATAGTCAGCGAGAGCACGCACACACTGGTTTTCATTGATGGACGAATTAGAATATATTGTCTGCAACGCATCTACCCTTCACCGTCTTCAGCCACAGCACCGAGTACACAGGGTGCCTTACAGATCTGTAGCACGTGGCCTGCTGATCGGCAGAATGATGAATGACACAGAGGCTTATTTTTGTTTGTTTGTACACTGTGGGACACACCCACGCTAGCGGAGTGATCAAGAAGCCTAGCAGTTGACTTTTTGTGATGACTATATACAATGATTGTCATCCTATCGCTAAAATGCACAAAGCAAAACAGAAAGAAATTGAAGATGATGATGATGATTCCATAGCCATGGCTCGTACACGCTCAGGGGGATCGGCCAAGAATCGATGACTTAATTCAGTGAGGCTTTTCTACTTTATATTCAGTATTGATACCCCCCTCCCCCCAGAAAAAAACAGAAAAAAAAGAAAAGACTCCCTATAGGTAGAATGAAAGGAGTGCAATAATTGTTTGTCACTCGTTCAGATTAGACAATGCATTACTGTGGGTGCTTCATCGTCATCGTCATTACTTAAAATGGGTACCTTGCGTGGGCTGTGTCGTGATGAGAAAAAAAATGTGTTGTCTGGAGCATGCTTGTTGTTCATCGTTATAAGCGTCATCCTCACCAAGGGATAGCGGCAGACATGCTTGATCCTAAGAAGCTTCGCCCCTAAAAAATTATATTGCCTGTGTGTGGATGGTGAGACACCTTGACATGGACCCCATGATGAGTGTCTCCCTTAAAATACGTCCGACGTGCATGTGTTTTACAAACTCGATACACGTGTCCCGTTAATTTTGATGCAGGGGGGTAATAGAAGTGTAATTCACTTAAACGAGCTTAATGCTTCAATTTGCCGCTAACAGCAAAATTGGACTCCCCCCCCCCTCAGTTCTGCTCGGAATGTTCAAATTGCTTTCAAATGCCGACAACTTAACTTAAACAGTTTTATTGGTGATCACGCTGCCCGGTTTATGCGCGCTCATTCGCACGCAAACGCTGGAAACCCCAAGTCAGCCTGCAAACTCAGTGTCTTAAGAAACGAGGTTCTACTGCGTCGGGCTGAGTTGTGCTGGCTTTCAAGTTGCTGCTCGAGCGAGCTGAACCGAGCTCATTCTCGCGGTCTTCCTGCTCCGCGGAGGTGATGACATCTCAGCTGTACCGAAGTTTCAACCAGCGTGGTTCACTTGGTTTCACTCACCAGAATCAAAATGAGGCGTGTTTTTTTTTGTTTATGAAGTATGCCCCGCCGCTGTGGTCTAGTGACCAAGGTACTCGGCTCCTGACCCGCAGGTCACGAGTTCGAATCCCGGCTGCGGGCGGCTGCATTTTCGATGAAGGCGGAAATTTTGTAGGGCCGTTTGCTCAGATTTGGGTGCACGTTAAAGAACCCCAGGTGGTCGAAATTTCCGGAGCCCTCTACTACAGCGTCTCGTATATTCATATGGTGGTTTTGGGACGTAAAACCCCACATATCAATCAATCTTTATGAGGTAATTAGATGTTATTTGTTCCACGACGTGTATGAAGGTGCAATATTAAGACAGGCAGAGAACGATAATGCGCCGCAGATGCAGAAAAATAGAATATTTGTGACAATTCAATAAGTATGAACGAAACTTTGAAACATATTTAGGCTAAAAGTAAGCTCGTGGTTTCCTGTACACCGTATTTAATATTTATTACTCTTCAGATATAAATATGAAACTCTATCCTAGAGCTGATAAAAGCTTTGGTACCAACGAAAATGTTTTATCACTTTGCTTGATAATAACTTTCCTTGCTCAAGTGAGTTGTCACGCACACATGGCACCACTATGCTTTCGAAGACGTTAGTCTTTCTTGGGATACTTCGATGCAAAAATTTTGGTTTGTCTGTCTGTCTGTAGATTTGTCTGCTCGTCCGCCGCAACGATACTCCAAACGGCTCTAAACGATACCCCAAACAGCCAATCCCGTCATCTGAGCCCACCAATATTGCTCAAGTTTCGCGTTAATACTTGTGCAATTGTCAATTAAAAAGCTATTATTGCGCATATATGATGCACCATAACTACACGTCAATATTTTGTATGTGTGTCTTTATACTAGATAAGGCACATGCAAGTAATACTAAGAACCGTAGTGTTTATCACACTGCGCTGATAATGAAACGCGATGCCCAAAATAGCAAGTATTTCCAACGCTTTGCTAAGACGACACGGTGGTGGCACCTACCCGTCGCTTTGCGTCATACACCTTATCGCATCTTAGACAGGTGCGCAAGCCTTCCTTCGTTTTAAAAAATAACTGCCAGATAGCACTCGTTTCTAACGTGCCACGATGCGCTCGTTCGCCTTCGCTGCACGAATCGAGACGATTTAACGCAGTGCTTCCAGAATACATTTCACCAATTTTCTCGCGCAGAACATCAAAAACGTTTTGTTTTTTTTCTCTCCAGATGCAAGATTATCGTCTTTCGACGACATTTGCAGTGAAGCATGCAGATATGTTGTCAATTTTTCGACTGGACGAAGTATGCGTGTACGTTGTTCGCCGGGTATGGAAGTTCCCCTAGCCGAAGAGTTGGTAATTGTAGAGATTCCACAAGAAACATTAGCTCAATGTGCTGTTCTAACTATCAGTGACAATAGCGCCATGAAAACTACGGGTTGCTGTACTGCTTCTTTGCGATGTAAGGAAACGCAGCACGTGCCTAGAAGTGCATATGTTCTGAACTGCTTCTAAAAAAAAAACCCGTGAGGTCCTATCAGCCACAATAATAAACGCGAAGCAGCTCTTTGAATAGCCTGCGTAACGCAGTCCATCCGTGTCTCCGTGCCAATGCACCGCACCACGCTCACCTCAACGCAGGTGTTGGGGCCGTGCGAAGTAATTCACGTCTTTCTTGGCAGCGCGCGGTGAAGCCACTTTCTCTTTCTCACCAGCCGCGCGCTCGCCCCGTGTCCCTCTTTCTCGCTTTACCGTCTCCACCACTGGCAACGTTCGAGCGCACATCGAGTGAACACTCTTTCGGCTCGTTTATCTGGACGCCGGAAAGCGAAGCGCCTTCGCCCACTGAAACATCCGCCGAAGTGATTTCGCCTAAGCCGTGGCGTGGTGGCAGGTGCCCTCGACACAAGCGCTCTTTGACCCTTGAAGGCCCAGCAGCCGAGCAGAGCAGCCACCCAGATCTCTCGGGTAGGGGTGAAGGGAAAGTGATTGGGGGGACCGCCGGGTGAGATGACCACCGTGTGGAACACATTCGCAAGCGGGTATCATAACGTGGAAATTCCGTATTGAAAGGTACAAGTTTTGCCGGACACAATACTGTGTTTTGTGTATAGACGCAAAGGACAGCGCTGGTTCGCCTTATTCAGGCCCGTCACCGGGGGCGGAAATCGGAGCCTGTTCGATTTGTGCATCGATGTGATCTCGCGGAAGGAGTGGAACGGATTAGGTCAACGCCGACTAAATTTCAAGGCTGAAAGGCTGCCGCAGTGACGTCAGAGGGTGGGTGCCCAGTTACGCCGCGAACGCGGCGGAAAGCCTGTGTTTAGCTCACGTTTTAGGAGAACAAACGCTCCCACTCTCGCAGCTACTGCGGCTTCATTGGGCCGAATAAAAGATGTGAAAAAAAAGTCTTACTGAGCATGCTCAGTTGGGCAGCTGGGCCCCCAACCTCTGATGTCACTGCGGCAGCCCTTCGGTCTTGAAATTTAGTCGGCGTTGATTAGGTCCTGGCCTGCCAGGCGATGGAAGATTAAAAGGTTGTCGGTGATCAAGCGCGTGAGCTCAGGAATTGGTAGCCTCGTTACCAACAAGCCCCGCGTGAGTTGGGATCCAGTTGACGAAACGTGTTCGGGCGCTCCAGATAACACCCCTTCGGGATTCGAGCTGCATGACTGGGGACGCGACCTTTTGTAAGACTTCGGGTACACTCCGTGAATCTGTAATTATGATCTTAGATGCAGGGTTCATTGCGGCAAGAGCTATGGCGCCTTCTTCCGCGTGAGTAATATGTCCAAGGCTCTAAAAGTGAGCCCTTAAGCAGGAACGTTTTGATGACCTACGGCTGACGAGTACCCCCCCCCCCCCCCCCCATGGTTGAGGGCCAGACGCGTCCGTGCAGAAGATTTCAAAACAGGACCCATAGCGTCGTTGCAAGACTGTGACCCACGCCATTCGCCTGCCTTCGCGAATGCGAGCAAGCTCCGGCATGCGCTGCACAGCGCAAAATTATCAGAATCACGATGTAACAAAACTAGCAGTTCCGTGTACGAATACAACCGGTGAGCGAAGCCTATTAGAATGGGACGCAAGCGGTTACGCGCCATATTTCGCTGCTGGCTTTTATGAAGGGTGTATGATGCGGTAACGTTTTTACAACTAGTACAGTTGTGTAGCTTCCCTCGCGAGGTGGCACACGCGGGAACACGGAGGTGACACACATGCCACAGCCAGCTGAGACGCGGACAGAGTAGCCGTTTGCGACTGTTAGCGCGTTTCTTCGTGGTCCCTCTCTCCGTACTCCATTTGTGTTGTGTGAATGCGTGAGGCATCGTGCAAGATGAAGCTGCAGCGTCGCGAGTTATTACGTCAGCAGTCGCGTTCATTTCGAAGACTTTGTTCTAGAAGTGCCGTGGTACGTAGCGGTCGTGTGGCGTGGAGCTTCGACGGCAGCGATGGCTGGGCCTAAGGAGCTTGGCTATTAAAATAATTTTGTTTACAGTGAGACCAAACCACCAGAGACGAAGCACGGCCCCCGAGATTGCATGCACGAATTTTCCAGCATGGCCGCTGAATAATAAAAAAAAGTGCTTTGAGGCTCTTACATGCCTCCATGTTCCTCATTATCAGACATCCTAGGAGTAGACGAAAATTTAAACAGCCTGAGGATGGCCTTGCCGAAGTAGTCAGTCCTCACAACTTGAACATGCGCAACTTTGAAGTCGCAATTGTGTGGGCGCGACCGTAAATCTTTCTAAAAACATCTCGAACAACTCTGCGTTAACAAAACCATAACATTGCATACTTGTATTGAAATATAGTGACGTTGATCTGTCGCACCAAAACATTTCTGCCATCACTGCCATCGCAGTATTCCGTTGTCATGCTAAAGACCACACTGAATTTTCAAGCGGGTAGCGCTGTCATAAGTAGAAACGCCCCAGGTTTATGAAACACGTGCGCATGGTCCATATATTAACAAGTGCTGGTATGATCGTAAGCTATTAAAAACTTAAATAAAATTATTCTGAGTTAATTTTAATAATAATTTTTCATTTAACAAATACTGCGGACACGTAGTCCAAGCAGGGAGGGCTAATAAAATGGTACAACAGTAAACATGTTGGGAACAAAAAGAATAAACGTAACAAAAACACTAATACAGAAATAGAGCCATTACGTTTCGCGAAACGCTGTACAAAGAAATTATAATAATCAGCATTTTCGTGTTGATTCAAATACACAATTCTATTCAGTTATTGTCCGAGGGCAAAAAGAATTCTTAAATGTGTTCGTTCTCGCGAAGTGGGGTGTTAATGCATCTTGTCTACGGTGACGAGTGGTTCTGACATTGATGCAACCCTGACACACGATAAATAGAAATATACGCCAGTTTCCCTGTGTCGCATGCTACTTTTCCTTCCTGTTTTTAGCTATTTCAGGCGATACGAATATCTTTGGTGGTCTCGGGAAATCCATATCACTAAGGTTTCCCTGTATGTGCATTTAAACGTGGGAGCGTGAGGCAGCACCGCCAGTGGCCAATGCGTCCAGTGTGGAACACATTTCGTCTTGCCTGTTATTTATTTTTGCTTGCTCTGCCTCTTCACGCGTAGCACGTGATTTTATTGCGGGCTGGAGCTGACCAATATTCTCTTGCGTACTACCTGACGGCATCATGTCAGCCACAACGAGAACCACGCTATGAATGAAGGAATAGGTGCATTATAAGGGGTCGTTTTTAATTTATTTTTATTTCATAAGATAACTTTGATTAGCATCATTATACGTTAGTTCTAATAATACCGCATCTAACAGAAAACCAAGCCCTTCAGTTTACACTTATTTTCTAAGGAGAGGTAGTGAGGCTTACTGTCGGGAAGTAGTCCAGAAAAAGTCGAGCATTACAATACTTGAAATGTGGTGTTACTTGAGGTACTTGCCACGATTGCGCAATTATGTCCTTCATTGAGTGGTCATTGTGTATATTTATATAGGTATTTAAAGAAGTGATCGAAGATCTTTCCATAAAAGAAACGTAAAAACGTCTGGGCCAGCGGTTGTTCTAGATGGCATGACACAATTTCGTAATATCAGTACCAGCATGAGCGTTTAATACCCGTTTCATGTGCCCATTTTTTCGCAATGTATCAGCATTCTGGATCGTGATCAACAATGGTCGCTGCCGCACGGTCAACACTAGTATGTGTCGCACTTGGTGCAGACATTAGTCAAATCGCGATCCTGGCGCTAATCATGATCCCTTTCGGGCCTGAAAGCGACTGAATATGACAGTGTAGAAATATCTTATTTAGATTGAGCCTAATATAGATTGCCCTGTGTAAGTAGGACTTGAGAGAAGTATTCAGAAAACATATAATAATAAATACATCAGTGAATTTAGTAACTGCATTTTTATGTCTTTTTTTCCTTTTTCAGGAAGATCTTGAGTTCGACACGTACTCTTACTTGGTCGTGCCTAAAGAAGCGGTCAAAATTCGACTACACAGGCTGAGCACCAAAAAATGAATCTTTATTCATCACTTCTTTTGTTGCGAGAAGATGTCTGCAAGCATTTTATGAGATATAACTCCTCGCCCTGAGCATATATACTTACGAGTATTCAAACAATTGGTTTTGCTTTACGTGCGCTGCCTTGATGTAAATTAGAACGAGAAACTTGCCAACATTGTCGGCAGTGTTTCATTCCTGCTTCGTGGTCTTCAAATTACCACATGAAGAATAAGAAATTATGACAGCTTCAATGGAATTGTACAATTAGCTGCAGTTGTTTCTCCGCAAAGTTTACGAGTTTTGTAATTGTAAAGCCAGTAGTTCGCACACTATTACGGTGCTCTTTGAAGCAGTTCCGCCTTCATAGAACATTTGCTTCGCAATGACACGTCTACGTTATATATTACATTTCTCAAGCTTTGTTTTATTCCTTGTTGTTTAAGATTTCTTCTTGTCCTGCGTAATGCAATCGCGCTGTTCTATTTTTCTTCTCCACTGCAGTTACGTTCTGTGATGAATGTACAGCGTGATGCTGGAGGCCTGTTTAGGTGTCTCATAACACTGTTTTAGTCTTTTGCACCACGACAACAATGCATTATCAGAGGAATAAAATAAAATTGGAGTGCAACAGGTTTTGACAGTCTGTCTCAGTCGGCCTCCACTCGCAATGTTTGTTTACCAGCAACGCCATACAAAGCACATCCACTGGTTGTGATCAAACGGCCCCATTATCCATCAGTTCCACCTAGGCGCATTGGAGCCAGTGTACGGGTGAGCATAGAAGGAAGCTGCGCTTGCAGCATTTGAAAGTGTTAGACCCAAATTTCCCTCTCAGAAGTCAGAATAGTGTGAGCGGTTATGCTACACTCTACTCGAGACGAGTAAGAGACAATACAATCTCGACCGGAGGGCTGGCTACCGAAGGGAACTTGTATAAAAATGCAGCAGGACACTTGATTTTGCAGTGTCTTGCACTAGCCAGATTGGCATTGCATATATTAGAAAAGTAGGCGGAAATAAAGATAAAGGTAGCAAAGTAGAAGTGCCATTTAAATATATTTCCAAACTTGTAGCCAAGTAGATCAAAGGAAGTATCATATATATCTATAGGTCTTATTATTATTCACTGCTATGATTTTGAATATGCGGCACAAAAATCAGAGCATAATTTTTGTCCTCTAAATCTTGGCGTTCAAGTCGCAGGTAAGTTCCAGAAAAAAAGATTTGTATATTTCTGTCCTCCTCGGTAGAACAAAGGCTATGGTGCTCGGCTGCTGAACCAGTGGTGACGGGTTCGATGCCGGCCACGGCGGTCGTATTTCCGTAGAGCCAGAAAGGGTGGAGGCATGCGCACTGCACGATGCCAGTGCTTTTTAAAGAACACCACATGGTCAAAATTGTCGATGCCCTCTAGTGCGGCGTCTCTCATAATCATATCGTGCTTTGGGATGGAGAACCCGATCTGATATTCATTATTATTTTCTCACAAGTTAGTTGCGTCATTGTTCACTGCAATGCAAACAGCAATATATACAAGTGATGGCGAAACGCAATCAAAATCGGAGTGACTAAAAACATCAGCAGACTTGAGAAAGCATATAATTTGTGCAGTGGTGGTTCTTCATACCCAGGGCTTCATGTTTGGGGTGCTTTTCCGAAAATTGAGCGTTCAGCGGAGTTACGCTTTTGTCAGAAATCAGGCGTTTACCGGAGCTTACTTCCCGTAAATTCCCAATTCTTCAAAACTGGGAGTTTTCTATTATTTTCAAAACCCGGAAATCTTAGATCAATTCACATCTGGATACCAAAATAGCAAAACACGCGAGGCACATTTATTTTTCCTAGTGCGTGTGAATAAAAAAAAACATACGCACGAGCAAAATACCTAAAAACAGAACATGTTTATTACTGCGTAGAACAGCCTTACCTTAAAGCCTATTGTGAAACAAGCAAGCATACTTTGCAAGATTTCAGGCAGTGATCGAAGCGTGCTCCTTTCTATTGACGACTCTCCAGTTATGAAACTGCCATCTCAACGTTAGCGCTGCGAACAGGAAGCGCAAGAAGAAGCAGCACGCAAAGATAAAGCGCTGGCCACTCGACATTGTCAAGTCTGCAAAATGACAGGGGTTCAACAAGGTTACGCATTTTATAACACTGATAGTTCACAAAGTAACTTAGATGCTGCCTCAGTTCATTGGTTTCAAGTAGGACTAATAGAAAAATAGTGCATAAAATATACGGTGGTATATTCGATGTAGCAAGCCCGAACAGCGAAACATTTGATGCACTGTTAGAGACAGAAAGGAAGTGTTGAATTCCAAGGCTAGCTGGGTAGTAGCAGTTAGAAGTAATATTACTCTTACTTTTATTATTACATCATATATCAGCTTATAAATATTCATAACAAGCAAAGGGTTGTGATCTAAGAATGTTTGAACGTGCAATAGGTACAGTGTCAGGTGTTTCTTGCGACAGAAATATCTTCGTATTTTCTGACATTCAGTTTTGTAAACATTATGTTGCCCCAGGTTGCGTAGCAACTACGTTGGTTATAGGGAGCCTACATGGCCGATTGTTGGTCAGTATTGGCTCAGTGCGCCTTTATATAGTTGTGCAGAGGAAAGCTCTTGCCACAAGCGGAGGAATTTTGCATGCAGGCAGGCGCACCCTGTGTTGCACGGCACAGCTGAATGTGCACCAGCCTACGGCTGGTGCGAGGAAACACGGTGGCATTGACTAATGCGACAGAAAACGTTGAAAATAGTTTGTGCTCGTAAGGCTTTCTTGTTATTTCAGCTACAAACAGTGAGAATAGTTACTGCTAGCAACGATAAAACAGAACTTCAATGCGGCTAAAAGGTAGCCATGGCGCCAACCTGAAATTGTCGTAGTCAAACGGAGTCTTCATTGCCAATTTGACGCAATGTAGCCACTAATCCCTAGTTCACACTGAAACATCCGCTTTCTACACAGCGACCGAAATTCCCCAGCCGCCGAAACGCAGCGTCGTTCGCACTGGATGCGCCGCGCGCCACCGAATATGCCATCTACCACGGGGCGAACGCGGGATGGATGCGCTGTCACCCGGCTGTCGCGGCTCGCAAACGCTACTACGCTATCCGGTGGTGTATACTTCGACGATTCTCGTACGCAAGAAGCAAGAAAAGACAGTACTGCTTACTTTGCTGGCAAGTGGCTGTGTTGTAATGCACGAACAGCAGAAAAACCACCGACGCCAGCGGCGTTGGTGGGTTTGTTTTGCTCTGCATGACCACAAAAAGCTCGGTCACGCCAACAGCAAGCTCGGTCACCTCTCTAACGAAATATGGAGGCGAAGTAGGCACAGAGTAGGTTAAACTCCCGTTGGTTTCAACATTCAGTTACGTGCACTGCGGCATAACAAGTGAGTAGGGCTTGGACGCCATTTTTCAAAATTCCTTGACTAGCGCTCCTATTGGACCGCGGTGACCGATTCGGCGGCAGACGCCGCAAAAATCGGTCCGAGAGCGATCGGCGCGGAGAAGGCCCTTTCGGCGGATCTCGTCGCCGCCGAACCGGATTCGGAGCACTTTCGGCGGCCGGAATGCTCAGTGTGAATGCGGCCTAACGGTCACCCTGACTTCTCAAAATCTGTGCTAGTGGTGAATAATCCCAAGCCGGGAAAAAGAGTTATAGTAAACCGAGGTCGGGTAGAAGTGGTTTGTGGCGCAATATAGGCCGCTGCTGCGGCACCCGCCGCCTCCGAGACGACGTGAATAACCTTGTGCGCTCTTCATTTGCCCCACGTCTCTACAACAACCCTAACAGTATGGGCCACACGCGTACGCGCAGCGTCGACTGAGCATCTCTCTTTAGGAAGGCATGTGAAGAGTCATGATAGCTGTATCGTGAATTGTGCGGCACTGAGATAACATTACTTTTAGATGCGAAGCAGCTCTTTGACTAGCCTGCCTGGCGCTGTCCATCCATGTCTCCGTGCCAACGAGCCGCGCCGCGCTTCCCTCACCGAAGGTGTCAGGGTGGTGCTAAGTATGTCACACCTTCCCTCGCAGTACGTGGTGGCGTCACTGTCTCTCTCGCCTGCCATGCGGTCACCGCGTGTCACCTCTCTCTCGCTTCAGCCTCTCCACCGCTCGCAACGTTCGAGCGCGCATCGAGTGAACACTCTTTCGGCTCGTTTATCTGCGATGAACTGGGCACCGGAAAGCGAAGCTCCTTTACGCGCCGAAACATGCACCCAAGCAATTTCGCAAAATCCGGCTGTCGCCGGCCTTGTGCGGGTTATCAGAGGCGATCGCGTTCGCGAATGGTGATGTCACGCCTGCAACAACGATGAGGCACGAGCCAGAAAAGCCAAATGCAAGCGTTGGCAGCGGAGACCAACGACCCCGACGAGGTGCAAGTAAAGCACTCCAATCACGTTCGAGAAACGAGACGGCGCGCGGGTAGCACCAACGAGACACGTGCCGAGTAAGACGTGCAGCGAAAGCGTCGGCAGTGGAGTCGCCGTCATCGGCAACGTCGTCCCCAACGTCTCGAGAAAGCCGCGCGCCCTCCACCGAAGCGTCCGCCCGCAAGTGCAGGGCTCCGCTGGCCGATCTGATGGTGACCAAGAAGAACGACCCGGAACCTCCCGAAGGCGCTCCTGCTCCAAGTGTGTTGCCGTGCGCGTCAGCAACGTCGCGATCCTCACGCTGTACCTCGCTCCCAACCTACCGAAGAAAAAACAGGTTCACCGTTGTCTGGAGGAGACGCTGACCAACAGTCGCGGGAGACTTCGACGTTGACGTAAGTGGAGGAGGAGGAGAATACTGGTCGATTTCAGGCGTGACGAGCACTCGCTGAAGTGCGTTGCGGCGGTATGAAAACTACCCACCAGGTGGATACATCTGGTCTTTGCCAACGTCGACGTCGAATAGGTGCTGGAGCCTCTCAGCGTGCACTTCATCGATCACAAGGCCGCGATAGTTGTTGCGTAATTCCACCTAAGATAGAGCGCATGTCGAATTTAAGATACTATACTCATGGCAGTATCTGGCTCTCTGAAGTGCCTGTTATGTTCTTTGTTAGCTTATATAAGACCACCGCATGTGGGCGGTGGGGTCATTTCGCTGTATTTCAAGGTGCAATAAACATGTGTGCGTTGGCTAGCTGGCTACCGAGTCACTGAAGATACAACAGTAGTCAAAATGGAACGCGCGCCAGCTCCTGTCCAGCGCCCGGCTCCCCTCTGAAGAAACGACAAGACCTCCGCCAGCCATCGCTTCAAACGAATCTTCCAGCGCTGATCATAACACCCACGTTAGCACCGATCAACCTGTGACGCCACCTGTGCGCAACGCTGCTGCTTCGCATCTCATCAGAATACCCTTTAGGAAGATGTCGTTGATTTTTTTCGTGATACGACTGCGTAGTTTATTTCATTTGCATTTTAAACATGTCATATTTTTTCCATGGTGGATGCTTTTATAAGGTATGGTATACTAGATAGCAGAATTGGTAGACTTGCGCATAGAGAGATTAGCAATAATCGAGTCCGCCGCGTAAGATTCTCTGTGCGCACTTCAACAATTCAATCTAAGCGTGAGGCGAAGAGGAAAGAGTAAGTGCATAAGAGAAATAGTGAGAAA